AGTGAGCTGTGTCTGGGCCGGGCAGCCTGACGCTGACCCCTGTGTGGGCAGACGGCCGGGGGTGGGAGTCTCTGCAGCCCCCCAGGGCTCCAGCAGACCCCGGAGGGGTTTATCCCAGCAGGTGTTTGCCGTGGCAGGAGGTGCGTGGGGGGACCAACAGACATCCCCGGGGATAAATCCACCACTGCTGTGCCCTGCCCTGTGCTCTGGTCTGTCCTACCTGTGGCAAATAACCAGCAACAGGTTGTGGGGGTCCCCCAGCCCCCCCGTCCCTTCCTGAGACGTGGCAGCAGATTAGCCCCGAGCCCCTCTGCACAGACAAAAGCTGCCACAAAGGGCATTAGGCTTCAGGATTGGATTACTGTGGGGCCACCTGTCATCCCCACTTTGTAAATTTATCTCGCTCCATGCCCGGTTTTCACACTGGAGAAGTTTGCACTTTAAAAAACCTGTCCCATAAAATCCCCCGCCCAGTGCCTGTCCAAGCAGCAGCCTGGCTGTGTTTGTCTGAGCATCCCTTCTTCTTCCAGGCTTCAGAGCTGTGTGGGGCTGGGGATTAGGGCTGTTTGAATGAAGAGAGCCTTTATTACATTAGTCTAAGTGGTTAATAGGTAAAGTAGGCCAATCCATCTTTAGACTAAGCCTATCACTTCGCCTACGGAGGGTGCAGGCTCCACCGAGGAGATATTCATTAAAGGAAAAGCTTTTCCTCTGTCCCTCTTGACATGTTAATAGCTCAGGGTTAGGGGCTCTGCTCTCTGCCTGTGCAGAATTCATAGCTGTGCAAAATTCCTGGCTGTGCTCACACAGCAACTCCCTCCCCTCGCTGGGACCCCGGGCAGCTCTGCCCGAGTCAGCAGCGCTGAGCCCCACCAGTGCTTTGCTGGCTGGGCTGGGTGGGGAATAAAAGATGCTGGAAGCCTGTTCCTCATCCTCACCTCCCTCTTCCATGCTCAGCAGCAGATACCTCACCCCTTCCCAGGAAGGGAAGGAGGGAGAGGGTTCAGAGGATGGGTAGAGGCAATGCTTCAGTGCTGGGACTCTCTGCTGTGGGATGTTCTCAAGGCCAGGAGTATTCATGGGTTTGAAAGGATTAGACAGTTCATAGTCACTATGAAATGAGATGATTTGGATGCAGATGCTGGCTCCAGAGGTCTTTGAACTACAGGTTGCCAGAAGGCAGGAGGATAACAAGGCAGGAGGGATTGCTTGCCAAGCTTTTCATGCCATCTTTATTTTCCACTACGAGTTTCCTCTACAGTGTCTTCATCCAGCCCTGTCCCGACTGGGGCTCAGCTGAGCTCCCTGTTTCCCACAGCCTGATTCCCTTTATCCTCTCCCTTTGCTCTCCCATAAGGACAGCAGTGTTGGCTGCACTCTGCCATTCTTTCCTCGCACCAAAGAGTGCTGGCAGGAGCTGCCCAGGTCTCCACCGTGCCTGTGAAGCCTCCATGGGAGTGGAAGGTTCCATGGGAATGGAAGCCTCCATAGGAATGAAAGGCTCCCCATCTGTCACGAGCTGCCCCGGGGCTGAGCTGTGCACACACCGCTGAGCTGAACGTGGGTTTGTGCTGAACCCCACTCCTTTTGCCCAAGGAGCTGCATCCTGCCAGGGCATTGTGGCTTCTGACCATTACAGCTCCTCTTTCCCCTCCCTTTGCAGCAGCTGTGGTTTAGTGTGGCCCTTGTTGCCGTGGAGCCCCAGGAGCAGGGAGCTCATCCTCCTTCCACCAACACGTATGTCCAGCATGTTGGAGCTGCACTGGGCCAAGCTGCTGTTCTCCAGTTGTGGTTTGAATGGGAACAAGCACTTCTTGGTGACTTTTCCACTGCTGTGAGTTCAGAGCAGCCAAAGTACCAGTTCCTCCTGTCCCCGAGGCTCTGTTGTCTCTGGCTGCCAGCGTGACGGATGGAGCCTCTGCGGGAGCTTATGGAAACCATGGGAAAGCTCCTCACAGCTGACATACCCATGCAATAAAACTTTGCTTTCCTGGATGTGATGCTGTCAGAGGTTCAAACCACATCCGTGGGCCACAATTTTTGGCTTCACTTGCAGCTGTCTTGCTTCCAGGGAGCCGCTTTTCAAATAAGGCAGCGTCTGAGACAACTTTGAGGATCTTAGTTTTGGGCTATGCCTGGCACCTGTGTGGGTACAATGAAGGGAGTGCAGGAACAAGGGCCTGAGGGCTGGGTTTGGTGGTTCCAGGTCTCCTTCTTGAGTTGAAAGCTCCATTCCTACCTCTGCTCATCTCAGCCTGTATTGGCCAACCTGAGGGCAGCAGCAGCACCAATGTGCTTTGTCCTGCTTCTCCTGCTGCGATGGGTCACCAGCAAGATGTTCTGCAAACACCAAGGATTCAGATCCTCTCCAAAGATAACAATCTGGTGGGTCTAGACCTGCACAGAGCTGAGTGCTTTCAATCACAGTTGAGGTGTGGGTTCAGGAGATGACAGCTCTGCAAAGGGACTGACACCAGGCCAGTGGATGCCTGTTAAGTAAAGAGTTTCTCCATGCTTTTTTCCGCTTACACAGTGCTCTCCTCTGTGTTTGTTGAAATGCTAATTAGGAACCTGTGTTTCCCAACTGGATCAACTGACTTGGCACTGCATTCCCAACAATTTCCTCCCGTTTCACGGCCCAACCCTACCCCATGCCTTTCTTGTGCAAGGAAGGGAAAATAAGCCTTGCATCATTCCCAGTACGTGGATATGTACTGACTGTAGTAACCCTGGAGGAGAAGTCAGTGCCAAGGTGCAGGGCCCCATACAACCAGCAATCTGATGGACCTGACCTGAAGCCAAAGGGCTCCAGTGCAACACAGCCATCCTGAGGATGTCTGGGGAACCGTTCCCCGCTCTAGGCAGGTCCCAGACCATTAAGGACTTCATGGGTTGAAACCAACCTCTTAAATCAAGCTGGAAAGCAGTTGGTGGCCAGTGCAGGATGTAGAACTCGTGTTTAATGTGGCCATAAAAGGAGACACCACTTAATGAGCAAATGTTGAAATCCACATCAACCCACGACAGCTTTAGGAGTTGCTCTGAGCGTTATTGACTGGCCCAGCTCTGTGACGGCATCGCGGGGTTGCAGAGTTGGCCAGAAAGGCAAAGGATTAGTCAGAGTTTTATTTTGGTTACTGTTTTTTTGGCACATGCTGGCTCCTGACTTCCAGAAGCTCTCACGTCCCAGGTGTCTGGTAGACCAGCGTGATTTTTATCTGCATGTGAAACTCCGCTTGTGTCGACTTGAAATCCCGGCCCTCGGGGTTGCCACAACCCCTGGGCATGGCTGGAGGTTTGCACAAGCTGGCATCCTCTTCCTCCACAGTCCAGCTTGTCCATCACCGCTCCTCCCAAAGTCCTGTGCAGACCTGGCACAGGGACCATCTCCCACCACGTGAAGAAGGAGCTTTCTGGGCATCCCCAGGCACAGCTCACCTGCGGGGTGGGGGTGCAGCCAGTGGGTGCCCCTTGCCAGTAAACACATTGCACAAAGGTAATGCCAGAAGCTGATGAGGCAAAACACCAGGTACAGTTGTGAGCTCACCAGGAGTTGCATAAACAGCTACTGACCAGCTTTCGTAGGCATGGGATGATTTTTGATGCAATCAGACCTCTCATTCCTGGTTTCCCTGTGTTTTGGCCTCAGAACAGATTGGTCAGGCTTTTTTCCCTTGAGCTCTTAATCAGGGCAACCATTGGCTTTAGCACAAATTATCAGTGGTTTTTTTAATTGCAGGAACCCTGGTGATCTTTGCTGTGGAAGCATAAAAGCAGTGAGGGAGGAGGTGGCTGTGGGGGAACAGCCTCTGTAAGGTGTTGTAAAGCTGAGGGAAGCTCAGCTTGGGGCTTGCAGATCACACACTGGTTGGTTATTTCTCTGTGCTGGGTGGATGCTTTGAAAACTTAATCAAGTTTTATAGCTTTAATTTTGTGCCTGACTCCCCTCTTGCCTTTTCTTTTCGACTGTCTTGCAACCCAGAGCAAATGAGTCCCGTTGGATTATAAAAGGAATGAATTGGCAAATGGTGTGAAATATTTCAGCTTGCCTAGTGAAGGATAGGAAAAAATGACTCTCCCTGCTTTGTGCCACTTCCATCAATTCTGCAAGCTCTCCAGTGCTTCCCCACATGGTTAATTAGAAATAACCAGGGAGGAAGGTGGAATTGCTGGAAACTTCAGGTATGACAGGTACTTTGTGAGGGTACGTCCTGCCCATGAGCTGAGGTTGTGTTCTCCATGGTTGCATCCTGTATCCTGACCTGCTGTAGCCTGTGGGGCAGTGCTGGGGAGGGGTTGTCCTTGTTGGGTGCTTGACTGGGATGTGCTGAAGATGCCACCACCAGCAGCTCCTGATTTTCCTTTTACTTCATGTGAGGGAACAAGTCTGTGCATCAACAGGGAATAGCAAAGCAGTGGGTAAAGCTGGGTGTAAGAGGACCCCTGTGGCTGGTGAGGTCCTGCTGTTGATAAGCCTGGGACAAATTGCTCCCTCTTGCCTGAATTTGGAAAAGTTTTGCATTTGGGATGCTAAGGGAAAGTGAGGTGGATGATCTCCGATGAGCTTCTGCTTTTCTGCTAAACCATCCTCTCGTTCCTATGGGGAAATGAGCTCTGGGTTGGGGCTTGAGGGCTCTGTGGTTCTGCCATGAGCCAGAAAAGCCACCTGGTGCAGCTCAGGACTCATCCTGACCACTCTGGAGCTGGTGTGGTACGTGTAGCCACACTCCAGGTGCAGTGTAGCCCAGCTAATCCACTCATGGATAACTGGGAGATTACTCAGCTGGATTTCTAATACAGTGGCCTTTAATAATAATCCCCCCCTAATCCCTAAATCAATGGAAAATGGATTTGTCTGTACAAACCAAATGGTCTGTGAAGGTATGTTATGCAGAAGCATTCTTGTGTGTACCTATGTGTGAACATACCTAGAAATGGCTATGGATGTTTTTTCCCTGTTCCCTGCCCTTCTGACCCACATCCTCGTGTTTTGCTGGCAGGGACCTGATGCCCAGGACACTGGAGGGGCAGATCACCATGGAGAAGACCCCCAGCTACTTCGTCACCAAGGAGGCCCCAGCCCGCATCTCCTCCATGTCCAAGGGCACGAAGCTCATCGTGGTGGTGCGGGACCCCGTGACCAGAGCCATCTCGGACTACACCCAGACGCTCTCCAAGAAGCCCGACATCCCCACCTTTGAGAGCCTGACCTTCAAAAACAGGACTACGGGCCTGATCGACACCTCGTGGAGCGCCATCCAGATTGGCATCTACGCCAAGCACCTGGAGAACTGGCTCCTCTACTTCCCCATCGGGCAGATCCTCTTCGTCAGCGGGGAGAGGCTGATCAGCGACCCCGCGGGGGAGCTGGGCAGGGTCCAGGACTTTCTGGGCCTCAAGAGGATCATCACCGACAAACACTTCTACTTCAACAAAACCAAGGGGTTCCCGTGCCTGAAGAAGGCGGAAGGCAGCAGCAAACCCCACTGCCTGGGGAAGACCAAAGGCAGGACCCACCCCGACATCGACCAGGAGGTGGTGCAGAGGCTGCGGGACTTCTACCGGCCCTTCAACATGAAGTTCTACCAGATGACGGGGCAGGACTTTGGCTGGGACTGAGCCTGGCGTGGGAAAGACCCCCTTGTAATTCCTTGCCCAGCACGGTTTGCTTATATAAAGAGATATATATGTATGTAAAATGTACAGAAATCTATTTTATAATAATTTATTTTTAATTCCTAAGCAATTAATTCACTAAGCTGCCTAACCGCACTGGCTAGAACGGTAGCCCGTAACCTGTTTAACATTCCACGGTGTTTAATTCTAATATGTCTCTCTTTTCCTTTTTTTTTTTTTTGGTTTGTTTTTTTTTTTTCTTTCCTCTTCTGTTTCCTCCTCTTTTTGGTTTGGTTTGTAACAGACAGTGCTTCCACTTTTCCTAAACAAAATTTGTATTTAAAAAAAAAAAATCAAAAAAAAGGGGAGGGGAGGGAGGGAAAGCACAGGTTTATTTTTGTTACGGGTATCTGGCCTTTATAAAACACTTGCTTTCCCTACTCCGGTGTCCCAGTCTCTGCTCCGATGTTGTGCTCCCTCGTCCCACAGTTTTCCAGGTAGTCCCACGGCCCCAGGGGGGTTTCACCGGGGTGGGTGGGAGGGAGGCTGGGAATTCTTTCACCCCACATAGCTCTGCTGAGCAGCAGCATGTGCTCCCAGTGGCTGCAAGCCTGGGGAATCCCAAGCCATGGAGCTCCTGCTCACACCCAGGGCTCTTTTCCCAGTGGAGAAGCCGCAGAGCCTGTTGCATGGGCAGAGCTCTCTCCTCGGTACACTTTTCCCTCTTGCCTTTTGTCCAGGAGGCTGTTTCCCACGATCCCTCTATGCATTTATAATCTTCACTGCAGGACAAATGCAAAGTACCTGTGTCTGTGTGTGTCACACACGGTGCTGGTCGCAGTGACGTGCGGGAAGCGTCGCTCCGGGGATGCCCACGTGCTCCGGGCACTGCTGGGACACGGCTGCACCTGCAGCACATGGAGCAGCCTCCACCCACCAGAGAAGCTGGCAGAGCCATGGAAAAAACCCAGGTCTCTGCATGGCACCATGCCCAGCACGGAACACATCCCAGGACACGGCACAGGCAGAGCTGCCTCCAGTCCCACAGCCACCACAGCAACTGCCAGTACATCAACCTGGGGAACATCAAGCAGTTTGATTCCCGTCACTTTTTGGTCCAATGCCCAATCCATGTCTCTCCAGAGGAGCAGGGTTTGCCTAGAGCCAGGAGGAAGTGCTGCTTTGGCAAGGAGGGTGACTCTGTAGGAAAGCAGGGGGGAGAATGGGGTGGGTTGGGGCACTGCAGCAGCCCAGGGGTGCCCTGGCTGAGCACAAGGGTGGCAGCCAGGCAGGATAGGAGGCTCTGAGCACCTGGAAATCCTTCCCCTCGGGTGGAAATAGATGCTGTGGGACTCAGGACAGTCAGCTGGGCTGTCCTGAGAGCTCTGGCCCATGGTTTATGAGCTCAGGAGGTCTCGATAAGCACCATGTGTGTCTGATGCCTTAGCACTGCTGTCAGAGGCTCTTCAAGCTCAGCTGGAGCATTTTCAAGCTGGAGCAAGGTGGCAGCTGAAGTGGTTTACTCCTTGCATTTTTAACAGAAGGAGGGCTATGAAGGCTTTGGGCAGCAAAACCCTGCGCACCTCACCTGCAGGACTGAGATGATGCACTTCACTGAGTGTCTGCTGATGTAACTATAGCACTTCATAAAGCAGTGTGAGTGAAACTGGAAACAGCAACAGCAGCAATCGGTACAATATCTGATTTTATACATGTTTCCTATATAAAAGTGAGCCCTGCACCTCTCCCCAGTCACCCACAGTTCCCTCTTGAAGCATCTCATTTCTGAGCTGTGCCCAGCTGTGGTGGGATGCATTCAATGGCATTTCCCAGATGTTTCTTTTACTTTTGCAGCCTCCTCGCTCTTGCCTGTCCCTTACAGCTCTCTGCCGTGGCTGTTGGGTGATGAAAACCTCCCTCAGAGCCTGGGCTGCTCTCTCTGGGTCTTGATCTGGTCCTGCTCAGGCAGATGGAGCAAAGAGCAGACTCAGCTCCGGGTCTGCTGCAGGGATCTGCACTTCAGTGCTTTGTTTAAACCAAAGGGCTCTGGACTTGGCTCAGCAGTGTCACATCTCCAAAGGAATGTCAAAGAATCGCAGAATGATTTGGGTTGGAAGGGACCTTCAAGACCATCCCATTCCAGCCCCCTGCCATGGGGTGCATGTGAGTCCACCAGCCAGGGACACATGTGGGTTCACACATGGGGTCAGTGCACTGGGGTGACCTCAAGGAAAGAGAGATGTTGAGCATAACATCAGGTCTGAGCTGCCTGCAAAGCTGCTGTGAGCAGATGCAAATCCCTCCTTGGGGTTTGCCTCCAAGCACATCTTCCCACAAACAGGAAAAGTTCTCCTCTTTGCCCTGAGCCGTTTCTAGTGAGGAAGCAGCGCTTTGGGCTGACACAGTCCCACTTCAGGGGGCACAGGGGGGATGTGGGACCTGCTGGGCTGTGCAGCCCCCACATGCTCCCCATCCTGCACAGTGCAGGTGGTGGGTGGATCTATGCACATTCAGGGGCTTTGGCTTCAGCTCCAGCCGTGTCCCCAGCCCTGTTCCCTGCTGCCAGGACAGGTGATGGATGCACCAGCATGTCTGCTTTATCCCAAACCTGAGGGGAAGGGGCTGCAGGCAGCGAGAAGAAAACACTTCCTGGTGGAAAAAAAGAATGATTTTTGGTTCTCCAAACCTCAGTCTTCCTACTAGCAGCTTATGCAATGCGTGGAAAGAAGTTGGACCTCCCCACCTGGCCTTTGGGTGAGCTCCCAGCCGCGGCTGTGCCGCTTCCCCGAGCGGTTTCACTCCAGGACCTGCCGTGGTTTCCTTCCCATGTGCTTCCCTCTGGAGCATGTGCCTGCTCCTCAATGCCAGAAGGGTTTTGCATCCCCTGTGTCTTCCTTCTTGCTTGGAAACAGGTTTTTAATACCCCACTGCCTTCCTCAGCTACACAGCAGAGCACAGGCTTGGTTTGTAAAACCGAGCCCTGCTGCAAAAGGCTCTCATGAAACAATCCTGCTGGAGAGTGGAAATACAGAGAATGAGTAATAACTCTTCTAACCTTAAAAAAATTGTTAGCCCTGACTCAATATCCTTCATAATGAAGTCTGCACTGGACTTTTAATGTGAAAAAGCCTTACCTAACAAATACGACACTGAAGGTGAATTCCCCGTGGTGTTCAACTGGTTGCTAATACTGGAATCAGTGCTATTGTCATCATTTTTTAAAAAAATACCTTTTTTATTTTAATTTAAGCTTGGAGGTGTGATTAAAAGTTTGGTTGTTTTTCTTTTTTTTTTTTTTTTTTCCACATTGTAACATTAATTTATGGCTGAGTTTCATTCAGTCCTGTGTTCAGAAGTGCAGTACAGGTAGTAGTGATGTGTTGTCTGTAACATGGTTCTATAGAGTAGTAACCAATTTGTAAGAAAAAGAACAGAATGGAAAGAAAAACAAACAAGCAAAAAAAAAACCACAAAAAAGAAAAGCTGAAAAAAATATGTAAATGGAGTATTTTGTGGTATGTACAACACAAATTAATTTTACACAGAGAAAGATGTTTCTAGGAAAATGAAACTCTGATAATTCATACTATTTGTATGAACAAATAAAAGCTCTATTTTATGAAGCCATGGGCATGGCTGTGTTCATTCACAGGGGCCTCCCCATGGGGGTTTGGAAGTGCTGGACTTGCATGTCCATCCCAGCACTGTCCCTGCAGCTGCCCAGAAGCCTGTGCTGAGTCCAGCAGGATGTGATTCCCAACATGATCTCCATCCAGCACAGGGCTGATCAGGAGCCAGAGGCTTCCCTGGGGGGTCAACATGTCCATGTTTTCTCAGTCAGGTTTTGTGGGGGCTGATCTGTCCTGTTGCAAACACCTTCACCCAACACTGTTTGAGGGAAGGAGACCTGAGGGATTGCCCTCAGCCCTGTGCAAAAACTGGATGGGCTTGGTGGGTGGTGGAACCCCCCTCCTGTGTCAAGGGGGCTGCAGGACAAACTCAGCCCTTTACAGCTGATGGGGGGGAACCTCTCCAGTGCCAAGTTCTTTTCCAAAAGGTTTGCACTTCAGCCTGGAGGAGACTGAGAGGAGACCTCATTGCAGCTACAACTCCCTCAGGAGGGGCAGAGGAGGGGCAGGGACTGAGCTCTGCTCTGGGGGGACCAGGGACAGCAGCCAGGGAATGGCTGGAGCTGTGTCAGGGCAGGCTCAGGTTGGATCTCAGCCAAAGGTTCTTCCCCCAGTGGCTGGTTGGGCACTGCCCAGGCTCCCCAGGGCAGTGGGCACAGCCCCAAGGCTGCCAGAGCTCCAGGAGGGTTTGGCTGATCCTCTGGGGCACAGGGGGTGACTCTTGGGGATGGGCCTGTGCAGGGCCAGGAGCTGGACTGGATGATCCTGATGACTCTTCTAACTCAGCATATTCTGGGATTCTGTGGTCCAGACTCTGGGGTCACTGGTTGCCACTCCCTACACACTCAGCACTTTCTGATATAAAACTTCATTATCATTAAATTCAGAAGAGTCCCAGGTCAGTGCTGTACAAAGCAGCACCTAAACAGCATCACAGATTTATGTAACTGCCACTCAAAATTAAAATAATTACATTAAAATAATTTCATTTTTTTCCACAAGCCTTACATCCAGTGCAGAGTAATCGATGGGAGTCTTTTAGGTTGTCCATTTTTCAGAGACCTTGTAGAAAAGGAGTCAAAAGGGAGCACAAGATTTAATTTAGCGATTTAGGAAGAGTTCAGCCTGGAAAGCTCCAGCTGGTCAGGATTGTAATTAGCTGCTCCCAAACTCTGGTAGTGTTTAAACTCTATAGGTGTCTCATTTTTAAAATATGTAGATTTTACTTTACCATTCCCATGAACCTCTGAAGCAGCACAGCTGGATGTGCTGGGAGCTGACCTCAGCCTGATGGAGTTGAGCTGCTCCTTACCTCATTCTCACCTCACCTTGATTTAGTTCCAAACCAGGTGTGAATGCCCCAGCAGATGTCAGTCCTGTAGGCAGCCTGGATCTGAGCTCAACCTGATTTCCCAGCAGCTCATGGAATCCTATCCCTCATTCCTGTGTTTTATAAGAGTTGCTCAGTGCTGGGATGGAGAGTGTGGGGGCTTTTCCATCACAGGGGCTTTTCCATCGTGCTGCTGAGGAAAGGGAAGGTTAGTCCTCAAGTCCTTATGGGATTCAGCACCTGCCCTGCCCTCTGCATCTCCCTGAGGGCTATTCCCAGTTGTACCCCAGCTTGTGGATAGCGGGGATTCAGTCCCCAGTTTGGGCTGGGTCCCATTCTCAGGTGCTGTTTTGGCAAGAGCAACTAGAAGATAAGGTTAAGGGGGTCTGTGTGGTTTGTGGGGTCCTGAATACAGAGAAGATGGGCTGAGGGGTCTTCTCATAGCCCTGGGGACCCCTGAGAAGGAGGAAGCTCCTGAAAG